AGATGAATCAAGATGCATGTAAAAAAAAGCTTGAATATAGTTTGCTCAAGGCAGTGGTGTTCATTTATGGACTTTGACCACTACACGCGTGAACTTTAGTGCAAAATTAAACTTTTTTGTCATTAGATCAACAGCTGAATATCTACCAACTTAATGTGTTCACCACTTAATTCACTTTCCTGGAGGTGGTCTTTTCTGAACTTCATTAGGCTGTTGTTTAGTTTCTATTATGTTTGTGATTATCTCTTGATGAATATTGATCAAAATTTATCTTGGTGTTCACTTGATATATTGGACTGAAAATGTTGGCTTTACTTTGATTCTAGTTGATGCTTAATTTGCTTATTTCTTATTTTCAAATTTATCAAAAATTTATGCTAGAGGTTTGTGACGAGACAGATATATTGCTGAGCTGAAAATGAAGGTTGATTCTTTTACCCTTGTTATTGACTGATTTGCTTGACCTTTTGGAAGGCATAATTTCTTCATAGTTTACTTAGAAATTCCTTAAATTTTAAATATCAGAATTTATTTATTTATCATGAGTGATAAAAGTTTAACTACCAATTAGATTTTTAGGTGTAAAGCCTTGCAAGTGGCCAGCTTTGGGTTCTTATCATTTTGTATGTAGTGCCGTTTGATATGGTGCTTTAGCTTGTTTGCTATTTGTTATTCCATGACAGATTGGAGACTGAGATGCATCTGAAACGGAATGTTGGGGCAACAAAAGCACCTTTGTCCAATATTCCCCCACAACAGCACCACCTATTCCAGCTAAACCTATGAATGAGTCAGCTCCTGTAGTAGCTGCTGTTGCCCCATCACCTCCCCCACCACCAAAATCCTCTCCAGAGAAAACCACTCCATTTACAAATGTCTCCTTTGGGAAGTCATCAGAGTTAGTAACTACGTCCTAGTATCTTCTCCAATGGTATGTGATGCTCAAAGAGTGTAAGGATCCATTTTTCTAAAATTGCAAATCTTTTTTGTACAGATTGACTGGTAAAGCGAGCTAGCTACAACCAATTGTTGATGAGGTAAATAAAGCCAAGCCACTCAATGTTACTAGTACTTCATTCATTTCATGGATTCATCAGCTGTATATACTATTTATCATCCACCTGAAAATTAGTTTCCTTTGAGAACATGCATGCATTCACTTGCCTCAAAAATGGCTTATGCTTTCAGATTATTTCAAAGGGGATGAATGGTTGGCCTTGGCATCGCGGGAATTCACAACCACCAATGAGCTTGCAAAATGATGTTCTTAGGCAAGCCAACCAATTTGAATTTTAAATTCAATATTGTAGGACCTTATGTTCTCCATTCTGAAGAATTGGGAAGATTTTTGAAACAAGCAGGTGCTGATGTTCAAATGAGATTTTTCTGTAAGCTGGAATTGGAACATAGATGACCTTTTCTAAATTAAACAAGCTTGTAAGCTGGAACTGAAACACAGATGGCTTTTGCTGAATTATATAATCTTGTAATTTGACTAAATCAAGCTGCAGTTTTACAAGTTTTTTATTGGGGAAAGCAGAACTTACCCGGTAAGTATCCAAATTACCTCTTTAAAATTTTATTGTGAAGCCTATTTGCTTTGCTATTGTTATTGTTTAGGACAAGGAATCAAAATTCAAATATTAGGCTATCTCAACAATTGATTTTACTTGAGCAAAATTATACATTTTGATGATATACTAGTATATTTCTCTACTATTTATAACGTTAGTTGCCTTGGAATTAAATGATTATTTCCCATTGCTCCCTTCTCTTAATTAATAGATATTGGTTGCATTAAAGATTGACTAATTTCTGTCATTTATTTTGTAATTTTTTCAATTTTTTTTCCAGATTATATAGACTTTTTACAGCTTTGTGTTATTAATTTTACTTTGATTTCATTTCTGCAGTTCACTTATCCCTCTTTTCTTTTTTTTGTTACAATTGATGCTTTCTGTATGCTCTAAATTCAGTTTATATTGATAAAGCGACAACCACGAATGAGCTTGCAAGTTGCAAAATGAGGTTCTTAGGCAAGCCAGCCCATTCAAATTTCGAATTCATTACCGTAGAACCTCATGTTTTCCATTTTGAAGAATTGGGGAGAGTTTTGGAACAAGAATTGAATTTTGATTCAGAAGGATATTCTCAATGGTACCCTCCTTTCCTACCATGTTTTTTTGGTGTTTTTCCATCTAGACTAGCCTCTGTACAAATTAGATTTTTCCACTAGCTGGAACTGGAAAATGGATATCACCATTGCTGAATTAAACAATCTTGTAATCTGACCATGTCAAGCTACATATTCTGTGAGTAACCAAATAGCCTATCTAAAATTTTATCATGCTACCCATTTCTCTTGGTTGTGTTAATTTTTAGGATAACCAAAAAGTGATATATTTTGAAGAATTATATGTCATGATATCTCTATTCATCATCTGCAAAGTGATACATTTTGATGATATAATTGACTTTGGTTTTGTCCTGTATTTGTGTTACCGGCTATTTGTATATATGTATATTTTTTATCTTAATTTTGATTCGGTGCATGGAAATTAGGTAGCCATCAAGAAGTTAGTCCAACTTAGTGTCCAGATGTTCCCTTATTTGGCCCTCCCCCCATCTTGTTCTTATTTATCATCACATTTCCCATCATTTTAGTGTCTGCTTCCTTGAAACTATGTAACACCTAACTTATAATTAGTTCTTGTCCTGTTTTTGTCTTACAGCATCTGATTAAACCCTTTGCTGTTTTCAAGTCAACTACAAGATAGTTAATAGGTGATTGATCCAAGATTCCAAGTTCAAGCCCCCCTTTTTAGGCAAGTTCTTTTTTCAACAAGTAGGAGCTGGATGCTTTGATATTAACGCTACCTTTCATGCAAGTGGTGAAGCTTCTGGAATGTATGATGAGTCGGAAATGAATGGTCCAACAATGTGCATTGTGTTCCCTCTTTATTCATCTCAAGTCACAACCAAGATTAGGGCACAAACACAGTTGCTTTAACTGCTGCTTAAAATGGATTGACTAGCAAAGTAGCTTCAAGATCTAACAACTTGCTGAAAAATGGTGGTGCTCACAGGATCCGTCATAGACTCATAGTTGCAGCTACAAGCTGCTACCTTCCAAAGAATGCCCTCTTTGGTAAGGCAAGTTTCATCTTCTCATCTCTCAATTGTTCAGAGAGATTCTTTATTATTTCATCAAGATAATGCTAAGCTTTAATTCACTTTTGCAGGACATGGATTTTTTGAGTTTTTGTTGTAACTTCCCTTGATCAATTCCCTTGATCATGGACAATTCGAGGATATATTTGAAAGTGGATGGAGTAATGCTTCGAGGCAGCATTATGCAAAAATCATTTCAAGGTGCATTGTCACATTTTAATCCTTTAATATGTGCAAAATTTGAATGTTAAAATCCAAGTTATTAGTTGTAGGTGAACTTATTGTTAGACTAATTTATGGCATACTCAAATTATGTTAACTTACCATTTCAACTTCTTATTTCTTCAGGATTTCTTTGTTGTATATATCCATACATCTGGCGTTGAGAAAAGTCTTCATGAACTCATACATGAATGGCATGGGGCTTGGACTTTGAAATATATCAAGTCAGGGGAGCTTTAAACAATGGCTAGTGGCTGGCTTTGATCATGATTGCAAAAACAGTAGAAAGACAGTGAGAGTGAGTTGCAACAGCGGCAAGGTCAGTAGAGGAGTTAGTTCTGGCAGATGATCAACAGTGATTTGGTCTCCAGTTTCTCTTGGAACACACTCAGCACACTTGGTGAGATTTATTCCAATTTGATGGGAGATTTTGACTTCCAGCTTTATTATGGTGATGACTATGACATTAGTGATCCAAGAATTTATTCTTGATGATTTATTGTTGTGTACAACTTCTGGTGTTTCCTAAAGTAGAAAAAACATTGTTGTTAAGTTTGATTATTTTCCGCTTAAGTGGGTAGAGGGAGAAGAAGAATACTTGTTGAGTGTGGTATTTGGTAACCCTCTTTGGAACAGTGTATTCTACATGGATTTTTTTTTTATCCATGCATCCCCAAAGCTTGAAAAGCTCATTGTTATCTTTCTATTCCCTATTCATGTTCAAGTGATTAGCTGTTGTATACCATGAAGTCATCAACAGTACTGCACATCACCTACAAAAAGTTAGCACAAGAAAATCAGTAGAGAGGCTCAATGTTAGTAACAATTTTGATTATAAGCTACATACCTTATAATCAGTCCCTGGTGAATATTTAAATGAAGACTAATAGCAAGTGTTTGGATTTGAAAATATCTATATTTTTTGTCCTAAGGAAAATATGTAAAATGAAACATTTAGATGATAAGTTAAACCTTGGATCAGGTTAAAACCTATGCACTATGCAATCCATATATATTGTTTCTTGCACCTCTCCATTTCCAAATGAAGTTCAAGACTTTCATTTCCTTTCAATCTCTTCATTTGAAAAAATGCATTCAATTGCCTCCAAAATGGTTTATGATTTCATTAACCTTTTCAAGTTGTTTTGTTGGAAAGGGATTGCAGAGTTCAACTTTACATTAGAAATATCTATATTGATGAAAGCCCCACATTAGCTTTCGAAATGATGTTCTTAGGCAAAGCCAACCTCGTAAACTCATATTGTTTTGAGCCAACAATTTTAGACTATCTGATCAGGTATATATGATGGACCATAGTTGATCTTTAGAGGCTCATTTTCAGATAATTAAATGTAAATTGACCTTCTTCCTAGCTCTTCATTTTAAGGATGAAATTGTCCTTGGGTATATGGGTAAGAAACTAACAATATTAATGGACAAGTTATCTTCCATCTCTGTGTTTTTCTTTCTTTTTCTTTTTTTTAATTCTTAAATCTCAATTATCAAAGGTCTTTTTCCACATAAAGGAAGAGCTTTTGACCATGGAAAATCTTTAGATTTATGGCTTTGGCACAAACACATCTGGATCAATCACTCCTTCCTTTGAAAATTACAGGGCATTGGTGTTTTTCTTCTAACATTTCTTGCCAGATCAAGGACAGTTTTAAGGTGGATGCAGTAATGCTTTGAGGTAGTATTATGTGTAAATTATTCCAAGGTGCAAGACTGTCACATTTAATCCTTTAATACGGACAAAAGTTGTAGATAGACTATTTCTGTCATACCAGACTAATTCATGGATTTACACCCGTGAGTTCATTTGATAATTAATTGGACCATTTTTCTTTGTTCAAAAAGCACAGTAATTATAACTATCATTTTCAATTTCTTTTTTCAGTATCCATCTGCTGTGTCATTCCAAAAATAGCAGAGAAATTTGTGAGGGTGAGTTGCGACCGTAGCAAGAATGTGTGGTTCAGCTGGATCAACTGTTCTTTGGTCTTGGTTTACTACTTTCGATGAGAAAAGAAAAGGCGGATTCATCAACAATTATTTCAGCCAGTAATGATGCTTGTTTTTTGGCTTGAAAATCGGGGACAAATTCTGGATTTTCCCTTCTCCTCCACGAATTTCACCCTCTTTTTTCAACTCCTAAAACACCCAGAAATTCTTCTGAGATGAAGAGAAAAAGATGGAATCCCTGAACCCTAACATCTTTTAAATTGCTAGCTTTCTCATCTTTTTAATTTCTTGATTCTACACCGAGACACCTTGAATTGAAACGAAATTTACCTTTAATTTTCCCCAAATTCCTTGGATTTTTGCAGAATTTCGCCTTCCAGCCACAATTGAGTCCTCAATCGATCATTTCCCTTCAACCATGTCTTTCTTCCATAGAGTTTTATCATCTTTCAACGCATACATATGTTTTTCTGATGCATGAAATAGAGAACGACTAAAGAAAGTTG